TAACTTCAGAAAATAGAACAATTCTGTAAGGTATTACAATAGCATTTCAACATAAAACGTCCTATACGACAATAAAATCTAAACCAAAACTTTAAGAATACATTGAAAATAACGGGATGATCCCCTGCAAAATACACTGGCATTTTAGGGATGCCCGATGAAGCGATCCTGCTTATTAGAAAAGAAAAGTATACTCGTACTAAGAACGTATACCGCAGGCAGGCATCGATACGGCTAAATATTTGATAATGTTGCACAAAGCGAACAGGAACTTTCCGGAAATTAATAAATTAAAAAAATTTGGTAGAATCAACTTCGGAACATACGTGTGTCTCGCATCAGTTGATTCTTACAATTCTCAGAATCTATGTGGGATCTCCAAACTCGCTTGTGGAGACGTTAAATTTGGGGTTGGTTCACTTTTTTAGGTACATTTAAAAATTAATTTTCAGGCAAACATCAGATCATGCAAACAAGGCAAAAATAATAAATTTCATACGTGTACAATAAAGAGAAACCAAATACATATTGATTTGCAACGTAAGTACTTAACCAAAAAAAAACACTTAAAATATACCAAGATAGGTACGCATGTTTGACAAAAAACATACCTTCTGCGGTGTTCTTGGTTGGGATTCATTTCGGCATAACTGAAAATTAATAATCAATTACTGACTGATCGGAACCAAGATGTAAATTGGAATTGCCTACATGGATCTCCGCAACAGCGCATTCAAACGCGGAAGTCACGTTTCATTCTTTTACCAAGTCAGTGAACGATGAGTAATCGTATTATGTGATAAACTTGAAAATTGATGCATACAAATCGTTTGGGTATACACTAGTGGCGAGCATGGAAATAAACACGGGATTATTCTATTGCATCCAATATTCAAAGGACAGAATCATCTTTTGAAAAATACGTGGTACCTATTGGAAAATTTGTACAAATACCTTCAGTCACATTTTCATATAGTTGGGACAAAGTCCGCAATAAAATATCTCAAAGAATGGACGTATTTTCTTTCTTGCTTCCAGATGGGACTGTAGTCATTTACTGCGTTTCGAACACGTCCTTGTTAAATCGGGAAATGCTTCATGAGTAGTACGGACACGGTGAAAAGAGATAACCGAATAATTATAAGCGGTGCAGCGGTTAGGGGTTGCTGGGGTACGCAAAAGATCAGGGTCCGCTTTATAACTGTCTGGCTGGAATTATATCTTTACCGAGCAGCATGGCTTAGAGGTCTAGACCATTGCTTAGCATTCGGGAGGACGCCGGTTCGATTCCGGGTCCGTCTACCTTGGTCCAAGTTTTTCTGTGGTTTTCTTGGATCACTTAGACAAATGCTGAGACAGTAATATTCCACAGATAATCTTTCATTCTCTTCTGTCTTCATTTCGTCCGTCTCATCTTTCTCACCTGAACCACCACCCACCCATTCCCACGATTCCTGAAAGCAGGCTGAAGAGGGCCTTCCGCCCTACCTTCCGGC